CTTTTCCGCTCAACATACATTAGATTTTTCACAAATTAGATTTTATTTTATTTTTATTTTTTAGGTAAACTTACAGTTATTTTTATACATCTAAATAGAAATTAACCACTTGAAACATGTAGATTAGAAAATAAAAGGTGGAGTTGCATGCTAAGAATGTTTGCAATAAAGCCAGGCAACAAATTTTCTTTAACTTAACCTACTCGTAGTATAAATAACACTTATAAGTTATGTATCCTCGAAACAATTAAGAAAGTATGATTTAAAATAATAAAAAAAAATTATACTACCACTCGTATTTATTCTGTGGTATAGGCCGCGGTATTGCAAAGCTTTTTGTAATGGCGTGTCAACAAATGTATAGGCTCCTATGTGTGTTCGTTTTGAGAAAAGTAACTTTCTATAAATATACAAAGCATTGTGTTATTGTACTCGTATATTTACATGTACATATTACGTTTTCGTATACTTAGCATGCATACGTTAATTGCCTGTTGTAATAAAAATTTGTATGATTCCCATGACTCAGATTATAAAACAAAAAAGAAACAAATAGAGTTTCATTGCGTTTCCAATAACTTATTTATATACATTAATAATGTCCTCCAGACCGAATTTCGGTCACGGCGGCCTGCCTCAACGGAGGCTAGCCATCGGCGCAGGAGAGGATTATAGTGCCCAAGAGTATGCGCAAGCACAGGTGCACTCTCTATTCCCTCGCTACGCTGTTGTCTTCTGCGTGAGCTGAATGCCCAGCAGGTATCGGGCTTCGGGGTAAACCCCTTTACCCGGATATTCCTCACGGCACACTACAGTGTGCCGGTCCTGGGCGCCTTTGATGGTAAAGGCGTTATGCTTATAATAGCGATTTTTGCCGCTGTCGGGTAATCTTATAAAAAAGGGAGGTTATCTTAGTAATTGTGTATAAACACAATTATTTAGTCGAAGTTGGCCTTTCTGCGGCGTTGTGGGATTTACTCGACTCCCTAATCTATATAGGGAGGAGTTCTCTTGGATAGGGTCGCCCGTACGGGGGGCCGTGAGTGCAACGGCGCTCTATTCCCTCACTCTCATAATCCGATGGGACGGTAAACCGACACGACCGGAGAGAGATCAGGCGCAGGACCAACGGCTTTACGTGCTTTCCGAGGCACGGGGGTGAGATACCGCCAACTTCCTGACTCCCGGCGGCTACTGAGAGTTTATTGACAGAAAAACTCAATAATTGATTTTTGGCCTGACCCGGGATTCGAACCCAGGACCTCATGATCAGTAGTCGCACTATTACAACCTCTAGACCAACGAGGCAGTCAAAAATATAGTATAGTATTTAGTTTCGGCCGATATAAAAGCCTTAATAAAATAATTAGGCACTTTTGATATTTATTTTTGATTTTCACTGCCTCGTTTGTCTAGTGGTTGTAGTAGTGTGACAGCTGATCATGAGGTCCTGGGTTACGAATCCCGGGTCAGGACAAAAAAAACAATCTATTGAGTTTTCGGTGTCCACTCCCGTGCCTCGGAAAGCACGTAAAGCCGTTAGTTGGTATTTTCCTAGGATAAGTGTATGTAAATTGTATTTAAATTTGGACGTAATTGCCTTTTTAGTTAATACAGCTTGAGTAGCGTTTTGCAAATTGTTTAATTCTCTTGGAAAAAAAGGCTTGATCCCGAGACTCGAAAAACGCTTCTACAGCACACGTCACCTCATCGTCACCGTCGAATTTTATACTACGCTTGCCTTTTTTAAGGTTACTAACCTTTTTAAGGTGAAAATCACTCAGAGATAGGTACGGAGAATATAATGTGTGCTGCATCAACTGAAACCCAGCAGGTTGGATGGCAACGCCTGCAACATCTGATCGATGAGCAGGGACATTATCATGATTAAAAAGCACTACAGTACGCAATTTTCCCCGAAGTTTATTTTTTAGTTCTTCGCGTGGTTTTTTTAATTCATGATGCGTAATAATCTCAAGTTATTGTCTCTCCTTTACTTAAATAGTCGATCATTATTATACATTCCACATCCCAGAAGACAGAGGCCATTATTTTTACAGCGGACACAGACACCTCGAATCTCTTCGATGGCGGGGAAGACTGTCTTTTCCACAGCTTGCATTGGTATTTCGTCTACGTGCCAAAGTGTTTCTACATTTATTAAAAGAGCCCCAAAAAAATCTGGATCTTCTCCAATTATTGTTAAATTAATCTTTGAAATGTCAAATCTTGCTTTCTTTTAGGCATCTGTTAAGATTCGACGAACCCAAAGCGCGGCCACCTTTTTGAATTTTAAGGTGTGAGTTAAAATAAACTGAATTGTCCCAAACGAAAGCTTTAGAATCTCAGCTAAATAACAGATGGTCACACGTCGATCTACGTTAACAATTTCTTCGATTTTTTTAACGTTTTCTTGCGTAACGGTTGTCTTTGGCGGCCCCCGGAGCGAGTGTAGTCACAGCAGTCAGTTCTGCCACATTTAAGTTCGGCGTACCGACATGCCACTGTAAAATAACACGGAGCATTGTCTGCCACAGTAGACTACAATTCTCCAAAATCACTTTTGTAGAAAAAAAGTACAGACACAAATATTTAATAACCGCACGAAGTTCGATTTTCTCCATTCTGGATACGAATCAAATTCCCGCCAAAAGTTAAGTTTAAAAATAATTGGCTGTAGTTTTTCATTTAGTTTTTTCTGGCCTAGGCTACTAACGAAATTAAGATTCGAAACAATAGAACGCATTTCTATAACTCATTGGTGTCCCATTCCGAAAATGTATCAAAATGTATAAGACGTGGTAGACGCCTTTCATGCGTGGTAGAGCCACTCTACAGCTATATTACTATTGTATTTTAGTATTGTAGCACGAATGGGTCAGCTCGACCGGAAAGGACCACGCTCTTATAGAATTTCAGCGTCAAATAGCAGCTTAATACTGCTGTGTCTCGTATGGTGAGTGTAGAGATCCAGAGACCCGTTGTACTGGAAACGAGACATTCCATCTTAGTCCTCAGGGGTTACAACGCATCTGCGTTTTGATTCTTAATCTATGGGCCACAGATTCCAGTTACCATCAGGTGGACTGTGTGCTCGTTTGTCACCCTTATTCTTTATTAAAAAAAGATCAACCTAATATAAGAGTAGAGAGAGAGAGTGTGTGTAAGAGTAAGAACATAGTATGGTACAATTGATAAAATTTCGTTATGAAATAAGACGAATTTTTAAATACTCTGGTGAAACGAAGCGAAAGCGACAGAAACCAGGTATCCATTTTTTGTAATTATTCTTTGAATAAATATTACAATAACATGATAATTATATTAAATAATTTATTCTACAAACTTATCATCATCATCTCTCATATATTTATTTATTTATTTATTTACACTTTATTGTACGAAAGGTACAAAACGGGGGACTTAATGCCATATGGCATTCTCTACCAGCCAACCGGAAGTTTGTGGGAGATGTGTGTACTGCAGTGGGCTAGAATGAAACCTAAAATTGATAAATTTCACATACACATACACCCTCACCCCCCTCCACACACCACACACACACACACACACACCCCACACGTACATACTCGTAGCTCAAACTTAATTAAATATATATAAGGATCTAATAGTTTAAATGTTATAGATTATTTATATATTTTTGTGTCAGATGAACCCAAATAATGTTCCTTTACCTTTGTTTTAAAAATCCATTTGTTGGGGGATTTTCTTATTGCTAGGGGAAGCGCATTCCAGAGTCTTACAGCTGTAACAACGAAAGAGTTTGAGAGGAAACCAGTACGGTGAGAGGGAGTATGGAGCACGAGATTGTTACGAGAGCGAAGATTGCAATCATGGGAAGAACCCAGGTATTGAAACTTACATTTCAAATACTCTGGGGCCAATGGATCGTTAAGAATAGTGAACAGAGTGCTAAGAATTCTAAGGCTCCTGCGTTGTGGGATATTTAACCATTTAAGTTGAGAGCGATAGAAAGAGATCATTACAGCCCTTCACAAGTCCACTGCTGAACATAGGCCTCCCCCAAGTAATGCCACAAAGCACGGTCCTGAGCCACCTGCATTCATCGACTTCCTGCATGTCTTACCAGGTCGTCACTCAATCTAGTGGGGGGTCGCCCTACACTTCGCCTACCGGTACGAGGCTGCCACTCGAGAACCTTTTTTCCCCAACGGTTGTCGGTTCTTCGAGCTATATGGCCGGCCCATTGCTACTTCAGCTTACTAATCCGGTGGGCTATGTCGGTCACTCTGGTTCTACTGCGGATATCCTCATTTCTAAGTTTATCACGCAGAGAAACTCCGAGCATAGCCCTCTCCATAGTTCGCTGAGCGACTTTGAGCGTCCTTATACGGCCAGCAGTGAAGGACCACGTCTCGGTTCCGTAGGTCAACACTGGCACCAACCACTGGTTGTACAACTTAGTTTTCAGGTTTTGAGGTATACCTGACGAGAAGATGCGTCGTAATTTCCCGACCGCTGCCCAGCCGAAAGTTATGTAACAAACCCAATTCCAAGAACGTCGACATACGGACAGCAATTATTAAAATTTATATGGAAATATTATTTAATCTTTTTTTACGTCGTGGCCTACCCATCTCCTTTTTTATCTCATATGCGTTAATCTTCCGATAATATTTCCTGCGCGATCGATTCGAAAGTTATATCCGCGGTCGGAAACCACAGAGTATATAAATTGAAAACGGCCAGAAACAAAACATGTGTTAGACAAATTTAAAAACTAACTTAGTAAGTTAAGTTTATTTTCATAATTTAGAAAGTAATGTTGCAAAAGATGTAAGATAATGAGACTTCGTTTATCGCCGATTTGTTGCCACTTACTGTCAGTCTCTCGTGAGAGAGTGTTTTGCCAGTCCATAGATTACTGTGTATATATGTGCCAGTCGATAGGCACCCGCGACGTGATGAGCACGCGTACCAGATAAATAAATTAAACAGGTGTGTTCGAAAGTGAAATTTTGTCTCGAGTCGGATATTCACCGCTGCATAACGCAAAAGGTAAGGTTGAAACTACAGTGAGCCTTTGTCTAAATTCAACTAAGTTGCGTTCATTACTTTTTATTAATTCGCCTTTATAATTATTTTAGTAGATATTATTTTTTTTAAACTACATTAAAAAAATGTGCGTATAATTTTGTACATACGTACGAAGTGAAACTTTTTTAAGACATATTCTACTTTTATTTTGTATTTTACATAAATAGGTTAAATAATGGTATACGCAGCCTCGGCTGTGAAAGGTAACAAGAAAACGTGACGTTTTATTTATTTTTCATATCGTACTATATTTCTCCACTAATAAAGATGTTTCAATTTAAAAACTAAAATATATATTGCATTTTAATTTTTAGAGATAATTTAGTAACGAAGGCAGACAAGTATTATTAAATAGCATTTTAAAATTATTAAAAAAAATAGTTTAACTTACCATGACGGCTCCGTGGCGTAGTGGCTTAGCAATGAATGGCTGCGCTGGGGGTCGCGGGTACGAATTCCGCACGGAGCAAGTATTTGTATGACCTACAAATAGTTGTTCTGGGTCTGGATGTTTGTCCTTATGCAATTTATGTTTGTAAAATGCCTCCACGATACAGGAGAAATCCTAATGTGGGGGTAACATTTTTAAAAGAAAAAGAAATAAATGAAATATCAGATGCATTAACTTCAAACGTTAAACTTCAGCCATTACTAAACATACTTTGGTCCCCCCCTAAATTGAGAAGCACAGGCAAAGACTACAATAGTGTACTGGGGCAGGCACAGGCCTCCTCAGAGCTATGAAGATATAGAATAGGATAGAATCATTTTTATTCAATATAGCTTACAACAATACTTATTGCAAGTCACTTTTCACTTTTACCATTGGTTCGGAAAAACCGCTGCGTTTCTTGCTGGTTCAGAAAGAAGCTCCATACCGAGTTCTGGAGAATCCTCCAACGTATGAACGAGGAGAATGGGCTCCTAGTAACCTTTCCTCTGGAGGCTGTAGAGTCGTCCTTGGCTTTAAAATGATAATTTTTAAAGTCAAGAGAGGTTCTGACGCGACAAAGGAGCCTGAACCGCCCCAACTCCAATCTCTCAACCCTTTACCTTTCGGGGTGAGACTTGAACGGCGTCAGTGAGAGTGACGAAGACCCAAGCAAGAAACGTAGCGGGACTTTTTTTAATGAAATTAATTTAGAATATATTATTTTGTACAGTTGGTATGAAGACATTAGAAACAGCTAAGTAGCGATCACCTCATTCCCAGGGATTATTATCAATCATGTACTCTTTAATATTTTAATAAACCTAAGTAAACAATTTTAGCTTAATAAAAATTTCTAACTTTTTGATAGATGAAGGAGTTATTGACTCTTTGGAGTCGAGGTATAACTAACTTGTGCTTGTTCCTAGTATTTACCGAACGTACAACAATATTTTTAATAAAACTATTTTTGTTTTTGTATACTCGTATATACATTAAATTTTCGTAAATATATTGAGAAGTCAAAGTTAATATATTTATTTCTTTAAAATTTTATCTAAGATTTTCCTTCGGACCCATAGTCCGCCATGCTGCTAAAGTGCTCCTTGTCCTATACTAGTCCTTACATATGAAATTAGCGTTTCGTCGTACTGACCACTTTGATCTGAAATATATCTCCTCTTTGGTTAAGAATTCCAAATTCGAATTTATAAATACATTTAGCTGGTACATTTGAGTTTTGAAAACAGTCTCCAAAGGAGTAATAGTGTCTCATTCACATCGATACTATTTATGTACTACGCACTAGATATGGCATTCCGAACACTCATTATGTTCAATTACTGAACTGTACTGCAATCCGTACACCTGTTATTGTGGCTTCGATATTCATGCAATGCGGAGCGAAGCTAATAGTATATATGCAACATTAACAAAAATTAAAAAAAATTACTCGATTAACAATACAATCTAAATAAACAATTATTTATTATGACAATTTTGGCGCGTTTATATCAACTGCGCATGCGCGACTCTACTTTTTCCTGCGCATATGCGGATACAGAGTAGCGCACATTTTTCCTTGGAATAGCTTCTCTAGTACATAGTCAAATATATAAGTCAATGTACGTAGTACATATAACTCAATGGTCATTCTTTATTTTTCCTTATTATTTTTTTTCTTTGGCGTCGCTTATTATCGCACAATGGAAAACACGCTGCAGGCTTCGGGGCAAGTGATAAAACTGTATTAATCCGCAAATTGAAGCAAATCGGGAAAGTAAAAAAACTTGAACGATGGGTACCTCATGAATTGAGTGAATCTAACTTGCAAACACGCGTTGACTGCTGTGTTATTTTGCTCAACCGACACAAAAATGAAGGGATTTTAAATCAAATCATTACTTGTGATGAAAAGTGGATACTGCACAATAATCGGAAGCGCTCGTCGCAATGGCTGAACCCTGGAGACCCAGCCAAATCCTACCCTAAACGAAAATTGACTCAGAAAAAGTTACTTGTGAGTGTTTGATGGACTAGCGCTTTTTTTGGTGATCGTTCACTACAGTTTTCTAAAATCTGGCCAAACGATTACGGCAGATATCTATTGTCAGCAAGTGCAAACCATGAAGGAAGAACTAGCTGATAAACAAACGAGATTGGTCAATCGCTCTAGGCCACTGCTGCTTCACGACAACGCAAGACCACACACTGCATAACAAACAACCACTAAGTTAGATGAGCTACAATTGGAATGTCTGCGACATACACCGTACTCCGCGGACCTTGCTCCAATAGATTACCATTTTTTCGGGAATTTGGATAACTTCCTACAAGGAAAAAAATTCAACTCCAATACGGCAGTCCAAACCGCCGTCAAAGAGTTTATTGATTCTCGCCCCCATGGTTTTTTTTAGTAATTTTTTCTATATAAAAAGACAAAACGTCGAATTATGTTTATCTTTTTTTAATACTCTGTAACCGAATATTTTCATGTAATTTTAACCAAATTTTAGGCGGCTGATTGATTTGAAAATTTGCGTCTCGTATCAAGGACCGATGACCTAACAAAAAAACGTTCCCTTTATCGTTTTAAAAATCTCTTACCCTTTAAAACGAAGCTTTTGTTAATTTATTTTTACTTCCTACTATAGACTTTGCAGATGTGTTCTATTGAGACCTATCTTAAACTCTTCTTAACAAGTTGAAGCGCTTTCTCAACAACTGTTTAAGATTTATCTTTAATTTACAAAAATATGACCACATCACTGCATTTTATTCCAAGCTTCAATGGCTTTCTATTCGTACGGAGTGTTGCTCCAAAGTCTTACTAACCTTTTTTTTCTGTATGAAATGATCCGACTTCCCCTTCTTATTTCAAAGTCTTGACCGTGTACTTTGTTCTTCTACCGTCCTTAAAAACCATATACCTTAGCATAGCACCGCTTTCTTTAATTCTTCGTTTACAGTGCTTCTATGAAACGCCCTGCCCGTTGATTTAAAAAAAGCACTGTATAAGAGCCGTGGTAGCTCAGATGGTTAGCGCTCGCTGTAAATTTCACAATACGCTAGCAAACCGGGTTCGATCCCCGCCGGCACCAATGAAATTGTTAACTACAATTTTGAGCGCTGATTTACCACGTGCTCGGCGGTGAAGGAAAACATCGTGAGGAAACCTGCATGTCTGAGAAATAAGAAAAAAATATATTTCGAAGACATGTCCAGGATCACGAAACAGACAAAACCCCAAACAAAAAGGGGAAGTTAAGGATATTATTACTACCCAGAACCGATAAGTATACATGAAAACGGAATATACTGATCAAGAACGTCCAGCAATTGCTCAACCACGCCAACACGCATTGGGGTAGCGCGGCGGACACATCCTTGCCCTAAAACCCTCTCAGAAATGAGAGGAGGCCTGTGCTCAGCAGTAGGACGTATATAGGCTTAACTTTACTTTACTTTACTTTACTGTATAAGCATACGTTCAAAAATCTGGGTCGAAAACTTTATCATGAGGAAAATCCCATCTGACCTTCTATTTTATTTTGATTTTTGTTTATTTTATATAAAATCCACCTGCCAAACGTGGCAAATGATCAAATGTTTACTTGTAAAACCAGTCATCTGTAATTATTTGTGATGATGACTTAAACATTACCTTTATTTTTCTGGTAAAATCGACTATTCGATGTTACCATTATTTATGGAAATTTTTCGTGGCATTACCGTGTATTAGCATAGTAAGTTTAAAAAATGTCCACGTAAAACAGTTTTAAGCCTTTTTTGGTTCAAAACATTTTATTTCTTACGATGATAATCTTGTAGTAAGTCTAATGTTGTAATTTCATAACTTATGTAACTGTATACAAAAGTTCCAAAATGTTTACTTGATGAATCACTTATGTACTTTTAATTGCTTTTACTAGAAACCGGTGGCAAAATGTTATTTAACTTTCTTTAGCAAAATAAAACCCGAATAATACTCATAGACGTTAAGCTACGTTGTTTCTCTTTAGATAGGCGTTTATAACTGTTTTTACATGAGACTTGAGAGAAAAAGTTCGGATAAATGTCAGGTCAAATAAATACAAAAATTAAATAATAATAGTAAAGGAAGTGCTTATGTCATAGGAGATTAGAGCAGGCAGCCTGCCTCAATTGATGGGATAGAGCAAATTGATAAGCAAATTGAGAAGGAGGATGTAAAGACTTCCTACTTCTTCTTGAAAGATGGTGAACTCTTTCTTCCAGAAGCGTACCCACAGAAAGTGAACCTGGTCTCGTTCCGAATTCTCGACGAAAAATGAATTTGACTTATTAATGACGACCAGACGACAACAGTTCCCACATGTCTTAGTGACTTAGAGAGTGATTACTGGTAGAGAACACCGAATGATGAGAGGCACTCTAACCATAACGTTAAATGTTGAGGTTGCGTCTAATGAAGTCAACACTTCGTCATCCTTATGCTCTATTCCAAAGCCTCCGAAAACTACCAGCTCGAGTTACAAAATCGTATTCATTG